TTGGTTATCGACGGGTTGCTCGCTATCTTGGATGGGTGCTTTGTATTGTCGGGCCGCAAGGTTACTCATCGGCTTCCGAATCGGTGTGAGAATGTCCGTCGTTTTGATTGGGACCTTCGCCTTCTTGCATAAGCCGGTAACTAGGCAAGGGAAATAAAACCCTTTGGAGTTGTTGACCATGGAGGTCCAAAATTGGTCAGATATGATTTCGCCTATGTTGATCGGTGTGCCCTTGAGAATGTAGTAGGCAAGAGTGCACCGTTCGGGATCCACGTGAGTCCACGAGCGGGTGGGAATGAGGTTGGCACAAATGAACGTAAGGCACGCCTTGCCTATTTGGTGGATGCATTTCGACTCCAACTCGTATGCCTCTTCGGTTGAGAGGTTGGACCAAATTGGGGGTCCATCGCACAACACCTCGGCGATTTGATCTCTTGTAACCGCGAGTTGCATTTGCTCCCAATTGAATGGTGCATGGCAGAGGTGATAGAAGGAGTTGATTGCTTGGGCACACCAATCGACCCGCTTTCCTCGAACCGTGCTCGATTTCCGATCCGTTGTTAGGAGGATACGGGTGTTGGCGTAGAACTCGCGGACCAACAATAAATTGATCGACCCCTTCGGTTCCAATAATGCTTGCCACCCTCGTCGTAGGAATTCTTGGTGCAACGGCGCAAATTGTGGAAGGGTGATCTCATAGGCACGCTCCGTCACAAGTTTCTTCACTTTTTGCTTCTCAAAACGAGCACTGGCGCCTTCGACACAAAAAGCATCGTCGTCGGGAGTTGGAATTTGGTCGGTTTTCTTGCCCTTGCCCTTGCCTTTTGAAGTGCCTTCGCCTTGTGAGGTGCCCTCCCCGTCACGTCCTCGTTTCCCCATGACTGGAGAATGCTTGTGGAAGGGATTAGAAGTGAATTGATGTGCAAAATTTCCCCCAAACTTGACTTGGGCAATTCGTCGAACACCTTGTGGGCGTTCTTGGTGGAATGGGTTTGTGGAGAAATTTGTACCTTTCTTGAATCCTCCCTGCGCAAATCAACAAGAAACCACCAAGATTAAGTAGTATGTGTGTGTAGTTGGTGAATTTTCGGTGAATTTGGTCCAAGAAAATCGAAAATTTTGAAAAGAGGGGGTTAGGGTTCGAATTAGGAGAGAAAGGGGGATTAGAATTGTGAGAATTGTGGGTTGGAAAACCCTTTTAATCTGCCCCGTTTTTTTTTTTTTTTTTTTTTTTTTTTTTTTTTTTTTTTAATTCGCACGGCCGTGGGAGTATTTGCACTCTATTTCCGGACGGCCGTGCGAAATTACAAATTCTGGCAGTAGGCTACTGTTTCTCGGACGGCCGTCCGAGAATTAAGTCTAAATTCGGCACGGCCGCGCCATTTCATGATTTTGGGCAGTAGCTTCCTCCGTTTCTCGGACGGCCGTGCGAGATTTAGGTACAAAATCCGCACGGCCGCACCATTTTGCGTTTTTGTCCAGTAGCTGCTCCAAAATCCCACACGGCCGTGTGAGATTCCTGCCTTTTTCTTGCACGGCCGTGTGAATAATTGCAATTAGGTCCCTGAAAAATAAAAACTTCTTATTAGTGCCCCTAAAGTTTTTGTTTTTTTTTTGTTTTTTGTTTTTGTTTTTTTTTTTTTTTGAAAAATAAAATAAAAACAAAACAAAAAATTTAAAATAACATAAAATAAGAAAAACGAAAGCTCGGGTTGCCTCCCGAGAAGCGCTAAGTTTACAGTCTTCAGCCGGACTTTGTCTGCTTCTTTGTTCAAGCTAACTTGACCGAAGTCACTTGGCGATTGAATTCCCCTCCACGATAATGCTTGAGGCATTGTCCATTGACCTTGAACGATTTTTCGGTCTCGGGATCCAATAATTCGACTGCGCCGTGCGGAAATACTTCGAGTATAGTAAATGGTCCGGACCATCTTGACTTGAGTTTTCCCGGAAACAACTTTAGACGGGAGTTGTAGAGGAGAACCAATTGCCCCTTTTGAAATTCTCGATGCAATATCTTGTTATCGTGCCAACGCTTGGTTTTCTCTTTGTATACACGATTGCTTTCATACGCATTCAATCTCAATTCATCGAGCTCGTTGAGTTGCAGCATTCGTTTCTCCTTGCACGCTTCAATATCGAAATTCAGCTTCTTAATTGCCCAAAACGCATTGTGCTCCAATTCAACCGGTAGATGACACGCCTTGCCATAAATCAATCGAAACGGTGTCATCCCAAGTGGAGTTTTGTAAGCTGTACGATATGCCCAAAGTGCATCATCTAATTTTCTCGACCAATCCTTCCGGGTAGGACTCACAACCTTTTCGAGGATGTTTTTTATTTCACGATTTGTGACCTCGGCTTGCCCGATCGTCTGAGGGTGGTAGGCCAATGCGACCTTGTGCTTTACTCCATACTTGGCCAAGAGTGCTTCGAATTGTTTATTGCAAAAGTGAGTGCCTCCATCACTAATAATTGCTCGTGGCGTTCCAAAGCGAGTGAAAATCTGTCTTTTTAAGAAAGCACAAACCACTGCAGAATCATTAGTAGGAAAGGCGGCCGCCTCAACCCATTTAGATACATAATCGACGGCCACTAAGATGTATAGGTTATTGAATGATGGGACAAAAGGCCCCATAAAATCTATTCCCCATACATCGAAGGGCTCTACTTCGATCATTGTATTTAATGGGAGTTCGTGCCTCCTTGAAATATTACCAACTCGTTGGCATCTATCGCAACTTGAAACAAAATTATAGCAATCTTTAAACAAAGTTGGCCAAAAGAAACCTGATTGAAGCACCTTTCTCGCCGTGCGCTCCCCTCCGTAATGTCCCGCATAATCCGAGCCATGGCAGTGAAAAAGTATATCTCCTTGCTCGCTTTCCGGTACACATCTTCGAATGACTAAATCGCTGCATTGTCTAAACAAAAAGGGTTCTTCCCAAAAGTAGAAATTCACATCGTGTAAAAACTTTTTTCGTTGATGAAAAGTGAGCTCGGGTGGAAGTACATGGCTAACTAAATAATTCACAAAATCCGCATACTATGGTACTTCTTGATTATTAATAACAAGCAATTGTTCATCCGGAAAATTTTCATTAATGCAAATTGGATCTTTGAATTCCGTTTCTAGCCTAGATAAATGATCGGCTACTTGGTTCTCGCTACCCTTACGGTCACGAATTTCCAAATCGAACTCTTGCAACAATAACACCCACCTAATAAGTCTAGGTTTTGCCTCTTTCTTTTGTATCAAATATTTTAAAGCTGAGTGATCCGTGAAGACAATGACTTTGGTCCCTATAAGATATGATCTAAATTTTTCGAATGCAAAAACAACTGCTAGCAACTCTTTTTCAGTGGTGGTATAATTCAATTGTGTATCGTTTAGAGTTTTACTAGCATAGTAAATTGAATGAAAAATTTTATTCTTTCTTTGACCCAACATGGCACCTACCGCAAAATCGCTGGCATCACACATAAGCTCAAAAGGTTCATTCCAATCGGGCACAACAATAATAGGAGCAGTTACTAACTTTGTTTTCACGTCGTCGAAGGCTTTGAGGCATTCGTCATTGAAGTCAAATTTGACGTCCTTCTCCAACAAATTGCACAATGGTTTGGCAACCTTGGAAAAATCCTTGATGAACCGCCTATAGAATCCCGCATGTCCCAAGAAACTTCGAATCCCCTTTACGGAAATCGGTGGCGGTAATTTCTCGATTGTCTCGATTTTTGCTCGATCAACTTCTAACCCCTTCTTTGACACCTTGTGTCCTAGCACGATCCCCTCTTGCACCATAAAGTGGCATTTTTCCCAGTTGAGCACCAAATTTGTCTCTTCACACCTGCGAAGAACCTTAGCCAGTATTTGGAGACAAGTGTCATACGTATCACCGAAGACAGAAAAATCATCCATAAAAATTTCAAGACCACATTCAACCATGTCCGTAAAAATTGCCATCATACAACGTTGAAAAGTAGCAGGAGCATTGCATAAACCAAAAGGCATACGTCGAAAAGCAAAAGTACCAAAAGGACAAGTAAAAGTGGTTTTGTCTTGATCCTCGAGAGCTATGGCAATTTGGTTATAACCGGAATACCCATCTAAAAAGCAATAAAATTCTTGACAAGCTAGCCTATCAAGCATTTGATCAATAAAGGGCAATGGGAAGTGATCTTTTCGAGTGGCTTTATTCAATTTTCTATAATCCATGCAAATTCGCCAACCCGTTACTGTCCTAGAAGGGATTAATTCATTTTTTTCATTTTTTATAACAGTCATTCCCCCCTTCTTGGGTACACATTGTACCGGACTAACCCATGCACTATCGGAAATAGGAAAAATAATACCTGCGTCTAGCCACTTGATGATTTCTTTCTTCACAACTTCCTTCATGATGGGGTTCAATCGCCTTTGTTGTTCCACCGAAGATTTATGGCTCTCCTCCAATATGATCTTGTGCATGCAAAAAGTTGGACTTATGCCCTTGATGTCGGCAATTGTCCATCCAAGTGCTAGCTTGTGCTCTCGCAATACCTCCAAAAGTCTCTTTTCCTGTAGACCTGTCAAAGATGAAGAAATAATAACAGGTAAGGTCTCATGAGCTCCAAGATACATATATTTTAAATGAGATGGTAAAACTTTAAGCTCAAGTTTCGGAGGTTCGATCACTGAAGGCTTAAAAGTGACCGATAACGGGATCTCTGTTTCCAAACTCTCAAAGCGTGGTCTTGGCAGCGGCTTTGCCGAATCCAACCAACATAATTGTTCCGTCACTGCTTCTTCCTCAACTAATGTTCCTACACACAAAGATGCTTCCAACGGATCCGCAATTAAAGGTTCAATAAAATCAAAATTCAATTGATCTAACACATCAAAAGCAAAGCATTCATCACCCTCTAGAGGGTGTTTCATTGTACGGAAAACATCAAATTTAATCGTTTCATCCCCCAAAGACATAGATAAAATTCCATTATATACATCAATTATAGTTCTAAACCATTCTCAAAAAAGGTCTTCCCAAAATCAAGGGAATTTCTTTATCTTCTTCCATATCAAGAACTACAAAATCTGCAGGAAAGATGAATTTATCTACTTTAACTAACACATCCTCTACTATTCCTTTTGGGTATATGAGTGATCTATCGGCTAACTGTAAAGTCACAGATACCAATTTTATATCTCCTAATCCCAAACTTTGAAAAACTGAGAAAAGCATGAGATTGATGCTCGCACCTAAATCTGTGAGAGATTTTGCAAAGAACTTACCTCCGATAGCGACTGGAATCGTAAACTTACCCGGGTCTCCAAGCTTTGGTGGAATTGGGCAAGTAAGAATGGCATTGCATTGCTCGGTTAAAGCTATCATCTCATGTTCACCGAATTTCCGTTTCTTTGATACCATGTCTTTCAAAAATTTCACCCAATGAGGCATTAGTTCAAGTGCTCGAGTAAAAGGAATATTAATCTGTAATTCATTCAATTGCTCAAGAAAACTTTTGTAATACGACTCATTTTTCGCTTTTATCTGGCGTTGAGGATAAGGTACCTGAGGGGTCGGCTTAGGCGCAACGACCCTTTTCTCACCTGGTGGATCTGTCAGAGTTTCCGCTTCTTTTTCTTGTTGCTTCCCCCCATCCTTGCTTGTTGCCTTCTTCGCCACTTCTTCTAGTTTTCTTCCATTCCTCAAACTGACGGCTTTGCATTGCTCGTTGGTGCCCTTTCGAGGATCTTCCGTATTTGACGGTAGTGTACCGGCCGGCCTCGCGTTCAATTGGGTCGCAAATTGGCCCATCTGTGTTTCCAAATTTCGAATGGATGCTTGGGTGGTCATCATAAATTGGGCCAAGATATTTGCGAGGTCTCCACCTTGAGGTGGTGCTTGAGGCGGATTTTGGAATCCGGGAGCTGGTCGGGAATAATTAGGCGGTTGGCCTTGAGGTGGTGCTTGCCTTTGCCCTTGCTGATTTCCTCCCCACCCAAAGTTAGGGTGATCCTTCCATCCCGGATTATACGTGTTGGAGTACGGGTTCCTCTGTTGTCGGTTGGTGTCGTGCACATAATTTAGAGACTCCGTTTCATCTACGCCTTGGTCGGGAGCTTGGACTGCATGGACTTGCTGAGTTTGCAAAGCCGCTACTTGCTTCGATAGATTTTCTAACTGGGCCGTGATTGCAGTGACCCCGTCTAACTCCAAAATTCCTCCCGTCTTGACTGCTCCGCTATTCGACCGGTCCGATGCCCTCATGTATTTATTTCTAGCAATTCGCTCCAAGAGTTCGTATGCTTCGTCGTAGGTCAAACTCATGAACATACCTCCAGCTGCAGAGTCGAGCACGGTTCTCGAGTTGTCTTCCAATCCATCGTAAAATATTTGCAGTTGGCGCCACTCTTGCAGTCCGTGATTCGGGCACTTCCTTACTAATTGTTTGAACCGCTCCCATGTCTCGAATAATGCTTCACCGGCTTCTTGTATGAAATTTTGAATTTCTCTCCGGATTCTCTCAGTTTTTGTTGGGGAGTTGTATGTGTTCATGAAAAGTTGTGCTAGCTGGGCCCAAGACGAGATGGAGTGCGGTGCACGAGTTTGCAACCATTCTCGGGCTGCTCCTTGTAGGGAGTGCTTGAACAGGCGGAGTTGCAGTGCTTCGGGTGATACTCCGTTCATCTTGTGCGAGTCACACGTTTCGAGAAAGTTGACCAAGTGGAGATGTGGATCTTCATGAGCCAATCCGCTGAATAGACCATTGTTTTGAAGCATCGTGAGGAGTCCCGCTCGAATCTCGAAATTGTTGGCTTCAATGGGGGGCTGCTGGATACTTGATTGAAACCCATTGGGTGTTGGAACGGTGTACTCATGCAGTGCTCGTTGACGCGGTGGTGGATTAATTAGCTGGCGTGGCTCTTGCTCATTGACGATTTCCGCCACTGCATTCGGTAGGCGCCCTTGGTCATCTCCCCCACGATTAATCTCTTCTTCCATCGTTGCGGGAGCTTTTTGAGCTAACCGTTGATTTCTCCTGGCTTGCCTAAACGTTCGCTCAATTTCGGGATCGAGAGGTAGCAAGTTCGTGTCGTGTCCTCTTCGCATAAAAAGTACCTAAAACAAAATAATAAAATAATTAAATAAAATAAATAAAAATGGCTGAAGTAAGAAAAATTGCTCAAATTTAATATTAGGATAAATAAATAATTTAGCCGTATTCCCCGGCAACGGCGCCAAAAACTTGTTGGGTGCTAAATTCCCACACACAAGTGCACGTATCGCAAACAAGTAGTAAAGTAGACTCGTGAGAGTCGGATGTCGATCCCACAGGGAATACGCAAATTATTTAATCCTAAGTACCAAATTTTAACAATTACGATTTTTATCCAGCCTACGCAAGTTTGTCAAATTAATTAACTAAATAAATTAAACTAATTAAGAAAGGAATTAAACACGAGAAAATATCAATATAAAACGGATCTAGGATTTTATCTTCCCCCTATGCGATAATTCTTCACCCAATTAATCTCCTATCATGCAAGTTACGATTCCCGATTATTAACCCAAGACACGAAATTACTCATAACCAGCTGTCGCTGTATTATAAGTCTATTATTCATAAAAGATTCACTATATGTCTATGCAAACCTAGTATAAATAAAGCATTAAATAACAAGTCTCGTAAACGGCTACCTAAGGTATTATCTATATGTCTACGATAATACATGCAATTAACACACTCATCCGGTGAAAACTACTCGAAGGCTCTTCTATCCCTGTTCTAATTATTAAAACGATATGTCAATCAATTCTAACAATAACAAATAGCAACATAAATTAGCTACGTTCATGCGCTAAATACAATCAAAATAGAAGAAATAATCGAAGAATTAAACTTGCATAAAAGTCGAAAAGAGGTTCGAATTACCACATAGGGTTCCAATAAAATCCTAGAATAAAAACTTAGCTACTCATGTTCTCTACGAAAAGCATAATAAAAATACGAAAAATCATAAAAGCTATGAATAAAAATAAAAGAGGAGAACTATGATGAAGAGTCGTCAAGTCTTCGTCTTCGTTCTTGTGCTCCTTGATTGCGTGTATAAAGATGAAAGATAAAAGATAAAGATAGATCCCTAATTGTGTGCTTTTGGCCTTTAAATAGGGTGCAAAAATATAATAGGACAGGTTTCCTTGTGTAATTAAACTTCCTTCACTGCGCCATCTCGTCAACCGGGACGGCCGTGCGAGAATAAGCTCTACAATCCGGACGGCCGTCCGGTCTTCAATTCTTCAGAGTTTCGATATTTTCACTTTTGGCCCATTTTTTCTCCGAATTTGCAGTTTTCACCCCATAAGTTGCCAATTCTTCAATTTGCACCTAAAATACAAATAATAACCATTTTAAGCACCCATTATCGTTAAAACACACCAAAAGTTCCAATCAAAAGGTACAATTAAGTGTATAAATATACACTTAACAGTATACGTCTCCGATTCCCAACATCCTCTTTAAAGACAATGTCTGTAATCTAATTTTTTTCCCATGAAACTGAACATCCTTAAAAGATTTTAAATTCCCCTTTTACAAATAGTACATTGCAGCACTTAATCTTTCTCCTAAATGTACCTTAGTGAACAAGAATGACTTATCATACTTCTTTGAATGTCCTTGAATGTTCAATTCTTGACTTTTGTACCATTTGGAATTGCTTATGCGAGATTTTACAGTATGAGACTTTTACTTAAATTATAGGTCAAATTTTGAATTATGAAATAGACCAAGCTTAATGTTTTCAAATGAATAAACTAACCGAACTTGTTCAAGAGAAAATCTAAACCCATCTAATGATGGTACCAAATGTCTATTTCAAATTCAAATGACAACCTAAGAGTCTTTATAGTCTCAATCACAAATATCTTACATAACATTTGTAGAAGAAACTTCCTTTTTTTCTTCCTATGAAGAGACGTTCTTATGTGAAGAGACTGCTGCGTCGCTTCCACAGCCTGCAAAAAGAAGAAAGAAAGTAGCTCTGATCATGTATCTAATGGCGATTAGAGAATAATACAATTGCTTAATTAACATCAAATTACTCAAATGTTTCATATATATATATATATATATATATATATATATATATATATATATATATATATATATATATATATATACTAAATTTCATACCATTTGAAGATGATAGAAGGGCACAATGAAATACTACTTCCCATATGTTAAGATATAATATTCCAGAGTCGCTCTGTGAGAGTGTGTTGTGTGTGCTCTTTGGTTTTGATTCTGAACATGAAAATGGTGTGAAAAATGAGAGGTTTTGCAATTAAGTACCCAAAGTCTTGTTTCAGATGCATTTTAGTCGCCATACTAATACTATGAACATTGCACTCTTCTTTTTTAAGTTTCACTTACAATTTACTCCACATCCACTTGAATTTACTATTTTGCCCTTACGTAATTCATTTTTTTATCTCCTTTTTCTTTTTCCGTATAACAAATATCATAAACAAACATTTTTTATTCCAACTTTCAATTAATTATTATCTTATCCAAACACCTTCAATCCTTTTTTTTTCCAAATTTCATCAACTTGTTTCTTCTAAAGATATTTGTCGCTTGATAAGGAGGACATCTATAAATAGAGGTACACTCAAATTCTCACTCGATTTATAACTTTGACATTTCAACACACAATGTATACACATTATTAATCCAATTTTGAAGTCGGAGTATTTATGCCTGGGAAAATCCTCACATTGCTGCATGATTGACAACTGATCGTGATTCCGATCAGATCTAAGGAGCAATAAAACGTACGACCACGAGCTCAAAGTGACGTAAGGCTGATGGTAGCACATTCCGACTAACCCATTCCGATCATAGTGTATAGCATATTTATTCACAAATTTTAGTGCTACATCGTTTCAATCAAATATTTTTTTCGTGAAAGTAGTATATTGGCGAATTAGAATTTTCAAAAAGTTCATAATATAATTCCAATTTCAATTAAACAAATAAAATTCAGAAATCGGAAATTTGTAAACCGAAAAAAAATAGCGAAAATTTTGTTCCAATTTTCTAATCCTAACCCACACCCATCATTTAATTTCCTTCTCTCAATCCCCAATTTCGATTTTGAATTCCTAACAAACATTAAATTAAATTAAATTAATTGAAACGTGTGAATTAAAGGAAATGGACATTTGCTTGCAAAATCTTCCGCCCCAAAACTCTCTCTAATTCAAAATCAATTTTGTTTTTCCCCACCCGCTGTAGATTTGATCGAGTGCGCTTGTTTTTCTGTTCTTAAATTTTTATTTTGCTATCTAAAATATTATCTTTTTTTTTATTTTGCAAATGCGAAGAAATTGTTAAGAATCAAGATGCAAGCTAGAATCATAAGTTTCTTAATCTGTTGCAGATAAGGGTTTGTAGAGAAAATGGGTGGGGGTAATATAGTAAATACACAAAAGTCAACATTTTTCCATTTGTCCTAGTATTTATTTGTTGAAAAAATGTGTTCTTGATCTGTTTGCAGTGTGGAGTTTCTCATTCGTTTACTAGTGTACACGATTTTCGTTTTTATCTGTTGAGAAGTATGTGATGAATTTAACAAATGAAGTGGAGATCGTTTGCGGTCGTCCTCCACTTACTTTGTTAAGTTCGTTACGAAGTATTTCCAATTAAGCCGATCGATATATTAATTCTTGTTTTACTGATGAAGTAGTTAATACGGTTGATTTCCGTGTGATTGATATATTATTGGATATGATTTCGAAAGTTACGGTTCGAA